TAATGTAGTAAACTGCTTGTTGTAATATTGGTTAGGTTAATGATATGACAGTATATAGCTCTGATATAGTGCCCCTCCAGCTCAGCGACTGGTACTTTTTTTATTCCTCTTTGTCCATTCATGGGATGTGGGCATTGCTGGCAAGGGCAATACGTATTGCACATCCCTAATTGTCCCCCAAACTAAGGGGCTTGTTGGGTCATTTCAAAGGGATGTGGGTTTGGACTCACGAGTAGGCCAGACTGTGTAAAGATGGCAGATTTCCTTTAATGAAAGGGCAGCGTTACTGAACCAGATGGATTTTTACAACAAACAGCAGTAGCTTCGTGGTCACCATTACTGAGACTGGCTTCCAATTTCTGATCATAATCGAATGAATTTAAACTCCTTCCCCCAGCTGCTGTAATGGGGTTTAAACACCAGTCCCCAGAGCATTAGTTTGGCTCTCTGTCCTGGAGTCCAGCACTAAATCACCAACCTCCCTTTTAAAGTGGCAATCGTCATTCTACAGAGCCCTGGCATCAGCATTGGGTCTGAGCATTTTTATTAACTCATAGCATGTGGGTGCTGTTGGCTGGCTGAGCAGTTACACCCCATCCCTACTTGAGAAGGTGGTGAGAGCTGCCTTCTTGAACCACTGCAGTCCATGTGCTGTGGGTTGACCCACAATGTCTTTAGGGAGGGAATTCCAGGATTTAGACCCAACAACATTGAAGGAACAGCGATATATTTCCAAGTCAGGGTGGGGAGTGGCTTGGAGGGGAACTTGCAGGGGGTGGTATTCCCAAGTATCTGCTGCCCTTGTACTTCTAGATGGAAGTGGTCGTGGGTTTGGAAGGTGCTGTCTCAGGAGTCTTGGTGAATTTCTGCAGTGCATCTTGTAGATAGTACACACTGCTGCCACTGAGCGTCGGTGGTGGAGGGAGGGGATGCTTGTGGATGTGATGTCAATCAAGCAGGGGCTGCTTTGTCCTGGATAGTGTCAAGCTTCTTGAGTGTTGTTGGGGCTGCACTCATCCAAGTAAGTGGGGAGTATTCCATAACACTCCCTGGCTTCCCATTTCTGAAGAAGGGTCCCGACCCGAAACATCAGCTTTCCTGCTCCTCTAATGCTGCCTGGCCTGCTGTGTTCCTCCAGCTCCACACTGTGTTATCCTATACTCCTGGCTTGTGCCTTGTAAATGGTGGACAAGCTTTGAGAAGTCAAGAGATGAGTTACTTGCTGAAGTATTCCTAGCCTCTGACCTGCTCTTGTAACCACTATGTTCATATGGCAGTTGAGTTTCTGGTCAATAGTAACCCTCAGATTGTTGTTAGTGGGGGATTCAGCGATGGTAATGCCAATAAATATCAAAGGACAGCAGGTAGATTGTCTCTTACTGGAGATGGTCATTGGCTGGTATTTGTGTGGTGCGAATGTTACTTGCCACTTGTCAGCCCAAGCCTGGATGTTGCCCAGATCTTGTTGCATTTGAAATATTCTGAATATTTTACAGTACTTTGAGATAAGGGTGAATGCTATTCCTGGTAAATAACCAGCATCATTTCTTTAAAAAAAATTTGTGAATATGCAAGCATGATTACAAATTTCACAACTGGATCTCAGTTGAGTGATAATTAGATCTCTGACACCATTTCTAATAAGACACATTTAAAAGGAAGCAGCATAGACACAGGAGGAGAAAATAATGGGATATGTTGAGAGAGTGACACGAACAGAAGAGGGGGGAGGCTTGATAGAAATACCAGAGCTTTTCTCTGATGCACATTTTCTGTGATGTATATTCTGGGTCATTCTGTCTTCAGTGCGATTCATTTGACTCAAATTAATGGGAGAGCAAGACACATAAACTACCCTTCGCTAACACCCTTAATTTAATCCACGCTTTATGGAAATGCACATTGCAGGTATCTGCTGTCTCCATGGACCTTCTAAAGGAAAGGCTTCTCCCTCCATTTATCAGAAAACTGGAAGGATCCTGAAACAGCAGCAACATCCCTGGCAGAATGACTTACCTGAAAATGCTAACTTGGAACAAAACAAATAACCACTGGGGATGATGAAACGAGCTGAGGTGAGTGATAATCAAAAGTTTCAGAAAATATTAACGAGGTAAATGTGAACTTCAGGAAAAAAAAAGGGTACACTGGAGTGAAAGTCATTAAAAATGCACGGCTTCAGCCTGCACAAGGAATGTTCTTATTTTTATCCAATGTCCCAATTCTCATTCTCTACAACATCATATCTTTGTGTTCGGATGGATTGCATTAGAATGGGGACTGCATTGGCCACGTGCCCAATGCAAACTGGTGGAAAACTGGACTTAAATACCAATATCTTGAATTGCCACATCCTGCTCATAAAACAAATTTTAATTTCTTTTGCTTTATTTACTTTGTCAAACTTCCAAATGGGAGAAAACATGTCAAAATTGCTTCGTGAACAGTTCTGTACTTCGCTTTGTAATTTCACCTTTAAATAGGAAATATTCCTCCAGCACTTTATCACACCATCACCAAAAGATGTTGTGGAATGCAGGCAAGCATTAATTTACTTCAGAGATTGATGACTTATATTGGTAGGCAAACAGGGCAGTCTCACTGTGCACAGCAAGATGCCATAAGTGAAGATGAGGTGAACAACTGGTAGATCTGTTGATCGGTGAGGCTTGTTGAGTGGCGACTGTGGGCTAGAATGACTGCTCAATAATGCAATGCAATATCTATGCAAACCAACACAGTTGTGCACAGCAGCCCTGACAGTGCTGCATTCCCTCAGTACTGCACTGGAATTGACACCCTACAGATTGTGGGTTTGTTTCAACAGTCGGGTTTTTAACCTATAACCTTCTGTCCCACAGGAGTGGGGTGATCAACAGGGGAATGTATTTTGCATGTCAGCGTGTGCTACAACAACAACTTGTAGCAGTATAGTGCCTTTACGCTAATGCAACACTGCATGGGAGAGGCTGTCCAACAAAGCTTGGCATTAAGCAATACAAGAAGGTATTCAAGGCAGGCAACTAAATACTTGGTCTAAGAACTAGGTTTTAAGGAGTATCTTAACGGAGGACAGAGAGAGATAGAGATAGGGAGAGAGAAAGAGAGAGAGAGATAGGGAGAGAGAGAGAAATGCAGAGAGAGAGAGATAGGGAGAGAGAGTGAAATGCAGAGAGAGAGGTTGGGAGGGAGAAAGAGAGAGATAGGGAG